TGTTTTGGTTCAATAGAATTCTTAACGGATCTGTGGTGATTGAAAAGACGTATTCTTTTGAATGTTTAACTGCTTTTTTTGCTTCTACAATGAATTTTTAGATACCATGTTTTTAAGCAAAATTTTACTTATAAACTTAAATGGCTATAATCTGCCAACGTCGCAAGTAAGAAAAAAACAATTTACGGTGCATATGCAGCGTTTCAAGCTGCATTCCATAAGCTAATGAAAAATGGGTTAATTCTATTTAAAAAAATACACTTTGATCTTGCCTCGCTTTTCTGAGACACTCTGTATCATATAAGATATTTTTAAAATGTGGGCACTTTGTGCGTCAACAACTTTTATATGAAACTATTTTTCGAAAGTTCAACACCAACGGAAATAATGGACTCTATCGCACTAAAAAACCACCCTGTGTATTAAAAAATGATTTATACAAGTACTTGTACTTTATTTTGTTAACAAAAGATGGATCCATTTTGTGTTGTGTCGATATTATAAGAATTTTTCCAGAAAAAAAAATGCTCATAAATTTTAAGTACTAACAAATTTGTAACATAACAGAATGCTTTTCTTTTWAMAAAWACAAACGCTTGCTGCTATATACATTTGTTAAATTGCACATATAAATATTCTTCAAAAATAAATTAGACTACCTTTTTCTATTTTACTATTAATTGTGTCATTTCAAAATAAATTATAGGTACGACACTTATTTTTTGAGGTAATTGAAATTACCCAACAGCTCAATATTTAACTAGTATTAAAAGTTTGCTTAAAAACGCCGCTGCTATTTCGAAAATCCATAAAAAGAAAATATTAGTTTAGATAAAATTGTTGACCGTAAAATTCAGCTTTAGACATTACTCGTTTTTGCTACTTTTTAATTTTAACTCTAACTTTTTTTACTTGTAATTCTAGATGTTAACAATATTGATTCTATTAACGACGCTTGATGCCAGTAACTTAGATATTATTTCTACGAAAGGGATTTGCTAGCAAACATTTTTGCACTGACAATTTTTGTAACTGTAAATTTATATTAGGAGATAGTGTGAAAATTTAAAGGAGTTAGCGAAGAAAGGTAATGTTCTTTGAAAAGATCTGGATAAAGACACTTGTTGCTGCGCAAATGGCTTGATGCGCCAGCCCAACGCACCGGCGCAGTAACTCAGTTGCTTTGCTGGGAAAATGTTGACCCGTTTTTTAGTTCTTTGAAGGGYCATTTATTAATAATATTTTTGAAATTTATTCCAAATTTAAGAATTTTCCCATTTTAGAAAAGTTACTCTTTCTTCTGAACGATCAATTTTCTAAAGTTTCACTTAAAAATACCAACAATCTTAAGGTAATTCCCCCGAAAATTATAAAATATATTTTTTAAGAACACTTACGTTTTAAAATTCCTTCCCAGCTTCGAATTTGGGAAATAGCTTTTTATCAAACAAAGAACAGAATAAGTGAAAGTTTATAATAAATTATTTGGAAAGTTTGTCACCCCGATGCCTCTGAAGACTGTAAAGTGTGTTAAAAAATTTGGTTTTATAGTTTGGATTTAATTTTTTTTTTGCTTTACTTTCTATTCAAARACGATCTATTTTGTAGTTTCACTTAAAAATGCTGAAAATCTGGAAGTATTTGACGGGAAAAATTGCAAGATTAATTTATAGCTTTGTAGAAATTTTCCGAAAACTTTTTTCAGCGTCAAATTTGGGACAAAAACGAAAATAAATTTGTTCCGTTTTTTCCCGAAAATCATTAAAGTTTTCTCAAAAACTAATCACGAAACTGAGAGACTAATCAAAAGCGAAAAAAACCCTTATTTTTTGATGATTTTCTTCTTCTCTGATAATAATTGGATCTTTTCTTGCAGCTTTCAACTTAGAACCAGCAACTCGAATATTTTTTTCTGGTTTTTTTGACAAAAATATTTCTATTACTTATTATAATAAAAGTTATAAAACTATAAAGAATTATTTGTAAAACTCGTCACCTTCGTCGGTGTGAATTATGTGTTTTTTTATTTCGGTTTCTTCACTTTTAGGTCAATATTTCTAAACAAAACTTTCTCTTTACAGATAAACGCTTTTTTGCTAAGAATTAGCCAACACAAATTAATGTTCTTTGAAAGACACCTAGTTTCCTTTATTTTTAATAGATTCTTAACCAGTTTTGCTATGACCTGAACAATTTATATTTGGGTGTTTTTTAGAACGATAAATTTAAATTTCCTATTATCTAGCTTGTAGGTACATTTTCTATTTAGGAAATATAGTACCAAGAGAAACTGCCTAAAATAGCGATATTTTAAAACCCAAAAAAATGAAGAGGTTTCAATTATACATTTCTAGCAGAAAAAAATGCCCTATTGTTATTAAGGCTTTGGAGTTTTTCTCAATTCATTTACATTTTCATCGCTCAGATTAGATTGCATTATATGATTTAAAAATGACAACAGTCTGTTAGTGAGTTCTATTTAGTGTTGTAGTCCAGTAACTTAAGAAAGCTAATCATGGCTGCGTCTGACTATAAATGCTGTTGATTTAATACGTTTGGTTGATATTTTAGCACTTCCAAGCCTAAATTCATCTTGGGGCTCTCTGCCACAATGGAAAATAAGGAAAACACGCGTCCTTACGCAATGATAAGGGAAGATGATACTGATTCCGATTCGAATGACGGACCAATCCCATATCGGGATGATGATAACCATCTTTCCGAAGAGACGAGATTGGCAATCAAAATTGCCAGGAAAGAAAGCCTATCACTGAAACTGGCTTTAAGGCCGGATAGGCAAGAACTGATCAATAGGTAAGAATCCAGCTTGAATTGCTCAACTCAACTGAATCATACAAAACTAACTACTGAAGAATGGAATAGAGAACCATTTTTCGATAAATTCTAAAAACCGGTGAAATTTTACCTTTTATTTTCGATTTACTGGTGTAGAATGCAACTCGACAGGGTGAACCTTAAAAGCATAATGGACTTGTTTTGATAACTCCAAATGCCACAAAAAATAAAACTGTAGCTAAAACTTGCGATTCAGCTGGGATATGGATACTTTCCTCAATATCGGATTTATTCGATCTTTTTAATCATACTGCCCGTTTCAAATTGAGCCGTGAATACGAGCTCTGTACGTATGCCTTTTTTATAAAACATTTATGTTTTTATGTATGCAAATGTTTTACTGAATTTCAGAAAATGTTGTTTTGTTATTACGCTTTTCTTCGATTTACGTTAGGAAATAATATTGAATTGTTGAGTTGCGTTTCACTCAATCTTTATTTTTCATATTCAGTTTTTTATGAATTTCATTTCGTTTCCAATCCTTGTTGTAGTGGTTTACGGTTCTTCAGGTTTATGTTTATTGGTTCTCATATTTGATTTAATTACATTTGATGCTTTATAAATAACTGAAAAACAAAAAATTTTATATGTATTTCAAAATACAATCTCGCTTGAAAAATTCGTTCAGATCGTTTCTGTAAAAAAAATCTAAATAAAGTTGTTACTCAATTGGCGACATTTAAGTGGATTGCTCGTCCGACACTTAGTAAGAATAAACCCGATTACAATAATTAAAATGTATAATCTGATTTGATTTTTAAATTGTAGGAATATTTTGCAAATTCAATCGGAAAATGAAAGGCAGAGTGAAAAAGAAGCCATTGGAGCCAAGTTGATCAGACGACTCAGTATGAGACCAACTCAAGAAGAATTAGAAGAGCGCAACATTTTAAAAAGTAAGCGTTTAGTGGAACAAGAGTTTTTTTAATCTGATGATTTGATGTGCGACGGAATAGTTCATACAAAAATTGAGCTAAAATAATAAACGGGTAATCCAGGAAAATCAGGATATTAATAACTAATAATCACAAATCGTTTAAATTTTTTTTATATTTGTGGAAATTATTTCAGTATTATTCGAATTATGCATAACTTGTAGGAGTGTATTTTTCAAAATAATATTCAAATTAGGTGAGAAAGAAGAAAGAGAAAAGTTTATGAATTTTGCTATAAAAGATTGGCACGAATTGAACTTACGTGATATTTTTATTTTTGTGTATGTTCGGTTTTTTTTAGTCAGTTTACAAAAATTCAAGCTCAAGCGACATGATCGAACACCATGTAAATAAGCAACGACCACTTGCTCGTTTGGGCTTTGTAAAAGTAACTGAAACGAAGTTATAATACAAATTAAAGCCCGTTATTTCTCCAATTTGGATTTTGAAAATTTCGAAATATTAAAGAAAGTCACTAATAATATCTTATGAAATATAATATAAGAATATACAATAAGATACATTATAATTTTCATATAATTTTTTTGAAAAGTTATTAAACAAAATATAAAGTTTCGTTTTTTTGTTTGATTGTAGAACAAAGCCCAGCGGAGGAAAAGAAGCAAAGAGAAGAGAAAAAACGATTTTTGTTAAGGAAATTAAGCTTTCGACCCACCGTTGAAGAGCTGAAAGAGAAAAAAATAATACGATTCAATGATTACATTGAAGTTACTCAAGCCCACGACTACGATAGAAGAGCCGATAAACCTTGGACAAGGTAGGATTGAATGTTTTTTTTATATTTTTATATCATAATTCTGAATTATGTATATTAATTCTAGAATTATTTCTGGTTTTTACGCAAAATGCGAAAACTCTGCAGAAATTCGGATCTTAAGAACCGCTCTTAGTCCTCGCCTCAAATTTTGAAAACCGATTGGGCTGCCAGGCTGCAGTTGCCTTTGGGGGATAGAGCTTTAAATTACGCTGTTTTCTATTCCAAACGTCATTATAGAATTATTTCTGGTTTTGACGCAAATTACCAAATTCTGAAGAAATTTGGATCTTAAGAACCAATGATAGTTTTTGCCTCAAAATCTGAAAACCGATTGGACTGCCAAGCTCTAGTTGCCATTGAGGGATGGAGCCTTAAACTACTTTTTTTTATTCCAAACGTCATTCTAGAATTATTTCTGGTTTCGCGCAAAGTGCTTTCGCTCTTAGTTCTTTCCTCAAATTTTGAAAACGTTTTGGGCTGCCAAACTCTAGTTGCCATTGTGGTATAGAGCCTTAAATTACACTCATTTTTATTCCAAACGTCATTCTAGAAATATTTCTGCTTTTCATGCAAAATGCGAAAGTAAATTTAACTAAATATTTGGAATACAGGAAATCTGTTCTTGCAAAAAATAAAAGGGCCTGAATTGGAAATTATTGATTAACATTCTGAGCCAAATAACATATTCAGTCAAAGGAAGGCAAATAATATATTAATAACTTCTTACACACAGTAACTTGTTGAAATATAATTTCCGATAAAATATGTTGTAAAGTCATGTCAGTGTTACCTTCGAATGATTGGAAAATCCATCATGCGACTTCAATTTACGAGATAAACTTTTAAGAAAGACGATATAGCGAATAGATTTGATGAATTATGATTTACGATAGGATTGTAAGATATTTTAAAGCACACAAGAATAATTTTTGCGTTTTGCGCAACCTTGCCTCGAGTTTTTGACCAATTATCTTCAGCAAATAAAACTGGAATTGACAAACTAGGCTGGATTCAAATTTCTTTCAAAAAGCGGCAAAATTTAACAAGAAAATCAAAAACTTCGACAGAAAACTAAGAACATCTTGTGAGTTTTCCTGTCTCTAGCAGCAGTCGTTTCCGTGTCGATGTAAAATACTTTGGCGAAATAAAGTGTATGTTTCGGGATTGCTATTATCAGGCTAAACCCAGCTGACGAGAGCAATAGGCTTGAACCGGTCCTGGGGGTCTGAGGTTAGCACATCTGGAAATCTGCACAGATCTGCTTACATCAAAAATCTTAAATTGTTAATTTCTAAATACGTTTGGTAAATCAGTAGTTATGTAGAGACAGAGAGTGTGGAGATTTAGTGCCTGAATTATTCATCTTTATTGAAAATCTATTATAAATTGAAATTTACTTAAATGATTGTGAAATTTACTTAAATGATTGTGAAATTTAAATTGGAATCGTAATTTGCTACATGATGTAGATTTTAGCGTTTTATTATTTTATTATTTTTAAATTTATTAATGTAGGAAATCGAATGAATACAAAACATACATTAGCAATAGTTGTTCATTTTATTTAAAAGTCCAATAAATACTAAAGGGACTTTTTATATGTTACAGACTAACTCCAAAGGACAAAGCAGCTATAAGAAAGGAATTGAATGAATTTAAAAGTTCTGAAATGGATGTGCACGAAGGCAGTCGTCATTTGACCAGGTAAGATTTAACCAAAGTTTATTTAAGGATAGATGCATTCTAATTTTGCGTATTAATGCCGCGTGTGTAAAATTGTTTTGTATATAGATTCATTAACGTATTATTTAATATTTTCAAGTCATGTTGTGGAGTTAATGAAATACAGGGTGTTTGGTAAGTAGAGTTCAGGGGGTGATTTTGGATATCTTTCTATAATAGACTATATTCCGAAAACTCTTAGTTTCCGATCGACAGGGTGCTAAAGTGGAATATTTTAATGAAATTTTACAGGCTTAAGCACTTTTTACAATACATGTTTTGTGATAAAAGTTTTGTTTTTAGCTTCGCCTGTAGCGTGGGATAGGCACGTCCGTAGATAATTTTAAATAAAAAAATATTACGCCACTAACTTTTCTAAAAATAAATATTATTTTTTAAGCTATGCTCCTTTTGAAGAGAAAAGGTATCTTGACTTTTTTCTACAACACACCGTTGTTGAGAAAAAAATTAAATCTATTTATTATTTATTGCATACCTTAATCGGGTTGTAATTAAGTAGATTTTGGTATAAAAACAGCACTTAGATTGTATCAATTTTATTACAAAAAAATTATTACTAACCGCAGTTGACATCGGTCTTAGGGTTTCTTTATTTGTTTTATCATATTAGATTACTTTACCTGTGAATTAAAATTTGACTAATTTGACATGTTAATTCTTTGTTGAAAAATCAGTGGCGTAACATTTTTTTATTTAAAACTATCTACAGACGTGCCTGTGCCCACGCCACTGAAAAAGCAAGAGTTTTTTAACACAAAAAATGTATTATGTTAAGTGCCTAAGTCTGTAAAATTTCACTAGAATATTTCAAGCCGTTTCCGGAACATTAATAAATAACTTGTGTTTAATTAAAACTTTAATGCTAATTGTTTGGACAATATTGTAAAACCTTACTCCTGAAAAATATTTTACTACCTTTTTGTAGATGTTAAAATTCCATTTTCGGGTCTCGTAAAGCTTTAATCTGCTTTAATTAATTACTTATAACGCATCAACCGATGAGTTATAACTCATTAGCTCAGAGAGCGGAACTCAACACAATGTTGAAATACCAGATCCGAATCGGAGAACGAACCGAATACTTAAAATAAACAAATTATTATAAAGAGTCGCTTGGCTTTCGACTCCGGTATTCGTTACTTCCTGTCTGCTCTAGTAACAAACATTTACGACACATGTTACTCTTGAACTATTCTTCAACGCCAGTTTTAAAAATTTATTGATTCTTTGCTTAACTCTTTCTTGAAAAGGTACTATGATCTTGGGGTCGATAAGCGATTTAATAGTCATAAAAAAAGGAACTGTACCAGTTTTGAAAGTGTATGTAATTTGAGGTGATTTTCACAAACATTGCACAAACAGTTAAGGTCATACCGCGAATAAATAAATAAACAATTGTAGTATTTAATGCAAAAAATTGAGAGCATAAAATCAGGGTTGTCACCAAAAATAAGCCAACGGCATGATAATTTCGAAAAATATGTCAGTTTTACAATAGGGATGTTTATCGATAGTTCTGTTATTATAAATAGGCACATTGTGATGTTTTACGTTCTTTTCAGATATTACAAAATAAACACTAAAATTGTCCATAGGCCGGGAGTGGTGGTTAGGGCCAGGGCACCGATTAAGCCCAATTTTAAACAAAATATGTTTTATATAGTAGGATAGAGTTAGTTTTCTTTATTATGGATGTAGGGGTAGTAATTTTATGTAAGTAAATTACTCAATCTTTAATTTTTGTCCCAATTAATCGATCTATAATGCTTTATCATTTCTTTTGTTAAACCAGCTCTAAGAAAATCTGTTTTCTTTGTGTAATATTTAAATGTAATTTCTATGGGTTTATTGGCTTACTGCTTATGGGTGTATGTGGACTTCTAGGGTATTAAATGGAAACTATTTAAAAAGGTGTTCACGCGAAGAAGAATTTTACATAGTGTTGACCAAAATAAACAAAATAGTATGACAAATCCGCAACAAATACATATTTTTGCTATATAAAAATAGACGGCAAAAAAAGAATAACCTCTTGCATTCCATTCTATTCATCTTCCAATGTGTCATATTATGGGGCCATGTGTGCCAAGACTTTTTAATTCAATTTGGTTCAACTATTTTTCACGCTTTCTTATACCCTTTTTAAATGATATCCAATTTAAAATTAAGAAAAAAAAATTGTAAAGAAATCTGAACTAACAAGTAGGCAAAATTCTTATGTACGAATCAATAGTTTAATCGGAACCAAATCCGCACTATCAGTAAGCTGATGCTAATTGTATTGAATAGTGAAACCCAACTTTCTATATCTGAAGCTATGAAGCTAAACTAAGTTCAAGCAAAAAGATTTATACATTAGAGATCATTCTCACCAGCTTTCTGCAAGCTGGCTAGTCCTCTATTTTCTACCCATTAATCCTCAAGAAGTTCACAAACTACCACACTTGCCATAAGGGCCACAATGATCCTATATTTCCCATCTAAGAATGCGATTATTGACTCATTTCGTCCACTGTTAGTAGCAAACTGAACATTTTGAACATACCCCTTTTCGAGAAAAAAAGACACCGTACTAAAGAATAAACATGATTATTTAATCATTTAATTTTTCGCCTTTTCGATGATTCAGGCTTAACTTGGCACTTCGAGTTCAATTTGTTGATTGTTGACATTTTTGAAGAAAGTGGCTGTTCGCACAGCAGTATTTCCAAAAGCAAATTTTACGTTCCAACTTAACGGAAGTCAACACCAACTAAGCTAAAAACGCTCCAAGTGCCGATATTTCACTAATTTAATTTTAAATTTTGAGTCATTTATATTTGTCTGAATTTCACTCGGCTGCAGTGATTAATGCACAACGCCAGAACTAAAATTAATAACCGAATTATTTTTTTCGAGAGAAATTTCAACTAATTAAAACTGTCCTTCAAGTTCAAGTTCTGACTTCAAGATATATTGCAATTTGAGGTGCGGCGCAGTGAGCCCCGATGAGTTATAATTCACTCACGGAGCGGCATCATCGCAAAAGCTCAACTAAACAATGTTACCCAGGCTTACTAACAAGTTTAACGTATTTTAATGTTATTTGCAATAATATAGTGATCTTCCTATTTTTAAAGATGCCAGATTTTCTAGAGCTTTTAAATTTTTAATGAGCACTGCTTCGAGATGCAAAAAGTATATGGTACTGCTTTCAATTTATTTTTCTCATATTCAACGGCATTTTTTCTAAATCACCCCACATKTATTTGTTTGTTACTTRTTGCAGCTAAAATAAGACATTTTACAGTATTAAGTGTACTAATCTTTCTGTACACGTCAGCTTATAGACAATTTTAGTACCAACATATGTAGACACGTACAATTTAGTGTTTATTATTTGGAAAACTTATTTTATTTCAGTTACGGAAACTGCTGTTTCATCCATAACCGAAATAAGCTTTTCAGATTAATTCATGGTTTTAAAATACAGTCACCATTACAAACAGCTTTTTTTTGTTTTTTAATATATTTTATTTTAAAATCAAGCAACAGAATGGAAATCCTGAAAGTGAAAGCCCAATATAATTGCCTCGAGATTAGATTTAAGATAATATAGAAAAATAAATCGAAAGTAATATAGTAATTTTAAATCATGTAAGGTAGTGCAAATTTCGAAGTTCGCTAACCTCAGGTACCCTCAGAACCGGTTTCGAGCTATTAGCTCTCATCAGCTGGGTTTAGCCTGAAATTAGGTACCGCGAAACCTGCACCTACCCAATGCAGGTGCGATGCAATCTTGTACGGATGATACCAACGAAAGTTTTGCCTATAATAATTTTAAATGTGATATTCTGTGTTACTCATAATAATGGTAGATATAAAATAATTATATTTACATTTCAAATTATATTATTTTTTCAAACTTGGATACATTGAAGCGTTTGTGTGAGTAATAAATGAAAAATAAAAGCATCTAAGTTTGAATCTGGATGGCACTTATCGGTTTTTCATCATTTAGATTTATTAATCTCATTTATTTTTTTACACAAATATCTGAGATGCAATGAGATCAACGACCCAGCTAGTTAACTTTATGTGAAATTAACTGGGTTTAGCTACTGCATAAACAGTTTAAAGAGAACAATAGAAGACTTTGGCTTTTGGGTTTCCCATTCTTGATGATTCACACTATAAATATTGCTATATGTAATAGTAAAAATATATTTATTGATTACTAAACTTACTTTTCAGGTTCCATAGGCCTTGACGATTGACAGGCTTAATCTTAGAAGAAAACCAAATTTCTGTGATGGGCATAGATGTAGGTTTTATTAATTTTGCCGTGAGCGCTTAAAGTGATGTTGGATATACGACATTTAATGAAACTGTAATAATAAAAATAATAAGATAATGATAATAATAATATGAATAGTTACACTTGTTGTATAAATTACCTGTAATAATTCTTGTTTTTGTAAATAAGTAATTTTGTATTACTGTAAAACGTTTTAATGGTAGTAGTAGATTAGAAGTTAAAACTGTTAACTTGGATAAAAGGGACAGAGTTTTTGTCAGGTTGCAAGTGGGAGCCTTTTTACGTCACCGAAGCAGATAACTAAATATTAGTTTAATTTGCCAAAGTAAAAAGTATATTTTACACGGCAAACAACACTGTCCCATCGTAGGTGTTAAATTTAGTAATATGTAAATAGACTTTCTTAAGTAGATGTAAAATGAATCTGCGTAAATGCATCACTTAATTACATTTATTCAATCCACAAATTAATTTCCCAGCCCTAATTGAATATATGTTTTTAAACCACGCTGTATTTTTTTTTGGTAATATTCATAATTTAGCTTGGGTCAGTAGAATACCCAGTAATTTTAAAAGTTTAATTAATCTTGTAAAATTACATTGCAAAAATTCTACATTGTATGATAGTCCTTAAGATTAAACGCGATATGCTATACACACTAAATTGTAGTTTTTACATGACCCCACTTCAAAAAGTATGTAATTTTATTCTTCTAATTTGAAAGTTTATATTTTTGTACTTCTTCAGATATGAAATCGCTTTTATGTAAAATGCATAATACAGTAATTAGTGTCAATCACATATCCAAAATTTAGAGATTCTAAAAATCAGAAGATGCGGAAATATATATCGATTAATAAAACACTTTATTTTAACGTAGAATTATTTTTAATAAATACCGTTCGTTTTGCAGATACTTAGTACTACTTTTACTGTTTTGTATTATAATTTCGGTAGCAAAAATGTATTTGTAGTAATTTTAAACCATTGTATTTTCTTTACTCTTCACGTCAGCAGCATTCAGCTAGCAATATTTATGAACTTGAAAAATTTGCTGAAAAGTATACATATGCCCAGCTTGTCAATGTTTAAATAAGGATTGTTTTACAATAAATAAGTTGCGGAAGTGTAAATACAGTTCTACTAATTGTATTTCATTTTTTGGTTCAGTTTTCATATCTGAATTCATAAATAAATAGATCACATTTGTACAATAAAAAGTATTGTTTAATTTGTCTTGTGAACGTCGCATTTATAAACTAAATTGAATTTTACTTCTTAACCACCACCATCATAAATATGGAATAAAATCAAAGTAATTATTTATTTTTGATTAATTAGAGAGATTATTATTAGAACCATCACACTAAATTGTAATTAATCTAGATTAAATGTCTTTTATGATGTAACAACTTTTACCACTTTGTATTCATTCTCGATCGATTTATACCAATTAAAATAAATGTCTTCCAAATAAACGAGGCATCAAAACCGAAAAATATGTGTTTAAATTCCGTGGACAATCCACATTTGAAATAATAAATGTTCAGTACTATATCGAGTTTTACTTTTTTCCTTACATATAATGTGTCATATACAGGGTGTCCCGTAAGCTCATGATCAAAAGGATACTGCGATATTCTTTGGACCAAGAGAAGACGATCTGACCTAACCTTTATTAACAAAAAATGTCTGGCTATTCTGCTATTGATGGTCAAAGATCTTCAAAAAATTTATCTTTTTTGAAATATCGGGAGAATGGCACGATGTATTTTAGTGAAACTCGCTGGGAATTTGTTCTTATGTAAGATTCGTATTTTGATTATTATTTTGAAAGTTATTACTTTCCCCACAGGATGACGGAAATTTGGAATGGGTAAAAGTGAGGCTTTCGCCATCGAAAACAGTGGCGAAATTACGTACTTTTCACCAGAGGATAAAAAAAATGTTTTTACATAATGCGGCTTTTTTATTTAGAATTTTTTTCGCCTTGATTAATCGAAATGTTTTATCAATATGAAATTTTGTGTGTGAATTTTACGGGAAAATATTGTTTTCAAAGTTGGAATTGACTTAGACCGTGACAGACGTGTATTTTCTGTCTTCCTCTTTTAGGAGAAAGATTCAAAACGGGAAATTTATCATCTAAAGAAGTTTCACAGAACATTTTATATGGTTCATTTTTCAAGAATCTCATCCATTGCATTTGCAGCCAAAAGACAGATTCGCCCGCGATATTTTTTACTCTTCTAGTGATTTCGTTGAAATAAAATCCGGCTGCAACATTCGTTTTATCGAAAATTTACTTCTTCTTTGGTTATCGTACTTACATGGTTAACTTGGGACATTAATGCGACAGTTTTCCACTTTCCTTTCGCATTCTTATGCCGTTGACTATTAAATTATTATTTATTCGGGGCCGATTTCTCAACCCCAGAACAATAGAGTGTCCTTTCCTCCTCTTGTTCTTGCACCCGTAGCTGTTGACATGTTGGAGGGAAATCTCTCAGTAGGCTAAATTTTGGTCCGCCCCGGGTATTTAATTTCCACGGTACCGTACCGTGGTTTCCGGTACCACCTATATCTAGGAGGCTTTTCCCTATCCGCCACCTGGGGAGGCGCTCGATGGGGATCTAGCAACCCTCCACATTGGCCAATAAATTGGGGATAAGTTCGTCGTGTAACACCAGCAGAACACATTTAGAACCAAAAATATCCCGACAAAATGGCGAAACACAATAATTGTATATGTATATTCAGGAAATAAGTGCTGTTGAAGAGTGAGAAATATACCATTCAAGTTGTCTAATGATGTATTTTCCCGTTTTTTGGGTATCAAATATTTTTCAAACTATTACATTGTCGTTAGCAGAGACTATATACCGATATTTTAATTATATACGCAAGTAAGTTATAACCGACGAGGAGTTAAATTAAATAGCAATCATATATGTATATAAAATAAAGAAATGTTAATACAGATTTATAAAGAAGTTGAATAAAGTCGACTATAAACACACTTAAAATAGAATTATTAGATCATACCTAAAATACTGCAAACTTATAAATTAGAAACATTTTCCAGTTCATTAAATTTACTAACGTATTGAATTTTCACAATTTCATAAAAAATACCTTGTAAAAATAGCCTATGTCTAGTTATCACAAAACTCCGGTTGGTGCAAGCAGCTTCTCAAAAAATGTTTTAATGAGTTTGGTTACTTAGTGGAAAAGTTCTTACTAACGAATTAAACACGCCCAAACTATTGGCAGAAATGTTTCTTGAAAAGCCACTATTTCACTCCCTTGTTCCGAAATTGATCAGCGAGTTTCACAATTACTAGTTGTTAGTTGTGAGTTTTTTTATCACAATACTGTTCTCTCAGAAGTATTATGCAATTATACAATTTAATTGCTGGCCCTACCTTAAACTGAAAATTATTCAGAATATCCGATTGACTTAAATGAAGAAAAGCTTCACCGTCGATTTCATGTTTACTAAATAATTCCTTATTTACGTCACAGCCGGGAATTGAATTAATAAACTCAACCACCTTATGGACAGACCAATTTAAAGGACTTTCCTTGCTGTTTATGAAGTCGTTTAAGAAGCATGAATGTTTCCTCCAGGATTCACTTTCGGCTGGTATTATTCTCATCGCAGTAATAAACGAACGAGCCTTTTCTTCTTGTAAGGAATCGGCAAAATGTGGCTCGTAATTGTTCGTCTTGGTTTCTTTAGGGTAACTATTTTTAAATCGCTTCTCTTCCGATTCATCGCGAGTTTCTTCCTCAGTAGTCTCCAGCTGTCTAGTTCCCTTGGGCGGCCTACCAACTCTCGATTTTCTGAAAAGCAAGAAATTATTAATCGTTACTGTATAATGCCAACATCACAATATTTTGAGTATATCGAAACTTGGTAAGCGATTTATTATTGTAAATATTCATGTGGTCCATTGAGAACTTGCAGCTAATTAATTTTGATAATTTGATATAATACTTCTATAGTTCTAGAATTCTAGAATTATATTCTCAAATAGTGATAATAAATCATTATTTTACATAAGATAGTGGCAATTTCGAGGTTCGCTAACCTCAGGCACCCCCAGGACCGGTTTAGAGCCCATAGTAGCTCTCATCAGTTGGGTTCAACCTGAAATTAGCGATCGCTAACTAACGAAGCCATCTTACATTATTTCTTGCTCGGATGATACCGACGAAATTATTGTCTCTAACATGATTTTATTTATTAAAAAAATTATTGTAACTGATAAACTGAAATTAAGATAAGACTACATAAAATAAAATAAACATATTTTTTTGAAGATGCATTGCACTAAGTCGATTTCGCCGTTCATTTACAATAGCAAGGTTTGAATTATAGCAGAATAAGCTAAAGCTGATTAATGTGTTTGTTTGAAACATACAGGCTTTTCATGGAACAAACTGAAATTGAGCAAAGACGAGATATGTTGACTACTTTGCTCATAAAATAAATGATTGAATAAGTTTTTACCAATATGTTAGCAGTGCAAACTGATGTAAAATCGATTTAATCCTATTTTTCGCTAAATTTATCACAAATATTTACCGTTTTATCACAGAGGAAGTCTGATTTGGCTCTCGTCCGGATAAATTAGCGACTCCCAATTTGGATTCACGTTGTACATGGACCTCCACCTCGGTTGTCTTCAAGTTCGAATTTGAACCGACTGGATTATTTTCTTTGGAAAGCCTTAAAAATAAAAATAACGAAATTAAAGTAGAATATCTAATGCAATTATAAAATCGAATAAAAAAAATATTACCTGTTGAAACTTTCTACTTTCTACTATAAAATAATAATTCTCTCTGAAATAAATGATGTTTCAAAATTTTTACTTCACACTTTGACTGAGACCCAGGAAAGATAAGAATATCATCAACTTACACCTTTTAACAACTTTGTTTCGTCTTTTATTGCCGTATTTCATTTATCGGTTTTTAATTGACTTATTAATGTTAGTCTACTTGATTTGCCTGATAATTTTAATTTTTTTAAGACTAGACTTGATATCTTTGTGTTAAGCAGGGTCCACACTTGCTATATAACGCTGCTGTATAGCCAAGTTACATAGCATGTTAGAGATTTTATAATGAAATATAGCAAATTTCCCTGCTATATAACTTGGATCAAATCCCAAGTATGGGACACCCGTAGTCCATTGTTTAAATTAAAACTTAAGCCTCAATTAGTGACATTAATTGTTTAGAAATTTTAAACAGGTACTTAATGTAGCTTGATAGGAGTCTCCGGTAGCCAAAAACCGTAAAGTCACTGCCAGACTAAAAGAAAAAGCTTTATCACATAAATCACATAAATAATAAATAAGTTTAAGATAAACTAAATTAAAATCCGTTGATTTGTTTAATTAAAAAAACGCCAATTTTAGCGTTTTTTCTTTAATTTTCTATAATTACATAGTTTAGTTTTGCTTCAAAATATTCTCAATATAACATTTTTGGGGGTGCTTGTATACTTTAAGTAAGCGGTATAAATTTTAGCTTAAAATATTCATAAGTTTTCGTTCATTCCTATTTGTTATGTAAAAAGGGCTCTTGCCAGATTCTAAATAAGGTTTTCTTGAGACGTCGGAGAGACTTGCCTGAAGCTGTATTTTACTCGTAGAGTTATACTACAACGTACAATAAAGGTACGTATAAAGTTACTAGTACTAGTGTGTTAGTCGTTGATTTTAGAATACTTGGAAATAAAATGACTATCAACTTACAATTGGCAGTCCTTTGGTTGTCTCGAAATCGGTTCCTTAGCTTCCGGACTTCTGTCTGGAGACAATAATCTATCGTTCAGTACTTTTTCTCTATCAATGTTCACTTCGGCATAAGGGCAATGTTTCTGTGACGAATGTGTCGTACTTGTTCCATTAATATGACCTTGCCCTCTACAGCCAACAGTAGGACATTCGAGGAAGTCATAAACATCATCTGGAGCTGAAATTGAACATAGATACATCCGAATTGATCAATTTGAAACCAGCACTTACTTAGGGGTGGCTCAATTGGATGTCCGGTTTTTTGACACCAACCAACTGGATGGATATCAGAACTATCATCATCTAGCCAATAACTATATCTATCAGGCCATCCGTCAAATTGAATCCTGATTTGATGTTCTCTTACATCATCTACTGTAGCGGCTCTAATAAGATGTGGCACCTAAAAACAAAGATATAATTGATGGATTTATTACTTCTTTGATTTTTAAACATCAGTAAATTAATAAAGTACTGTATTTTTTACTAATATTCTTTAGAGCAAATATTTTGTACATTACATTATATTAAACATATCTGGAGATTCTGAAACTTACCCTTTTGTCTACACACTCTAATCGCATTCCTCGCTTGAAACCGCATACAGGTCTTTGTTTAAACGCTCGCACTGGAGCAGCTACTGATTTTGTCTCTTTTAAGTATTTTTCCCACGTAAACGTTTCTGGGGTAGGATAATCTGGAAAATAAAAATATGTATGTATAAATAGGGTGTACCAAATTAATTAATGCGCGCCATTAGTAACTTTTCTATCAGCGGATATAGAGCGTTGGTTGAAATGGCAAAGAGATGTATATTTTTTAGCTGGTTGAGATAGTGATAAGTACTAAAAAATAATAGAACATTGTAAAGCCAATAAAAAACGGCTTATTTAAAAAACTCCTTGCACATTAGTAGACACAATTGAAGTCAATTTACTTCTACACAAAAAACTTCGGTAACATTTGTTTCTCAAATGGCAAGTTTTAAAATATTAAATACTTTTTACTTTTAAGTACCTAAGCGGATAATAGGTTGAAAATGTCTTAAAAAATAATATGTAATAATTAAAAATCAAGGTGTTTACAGAAGGTGTTCAAAAATAACCCCTCCTGAATAATCCCTGGGGCTATTTGAAGAAAATTGTGCATGAGACGTGTATATTGTGTATAGAACGATCTAGATAGACGCCTTAAAATAGTGGATGCAATTAACGATATGAATTAATGATAACCAATACATTCAAAACGTTATAGATAAAGTTGAAGTAGATTATAGAGCATTTCTAGTGTTAAACGGAGGATAATATGCAAAAACCAGTGATTTTGCTGATTTTGTTTATATTTATTTATTTGTTTTGAAATTTATAGTAGCAATAAATTTCTTTATGTTCTCTTTCTATAGTTTTTTGTTTCATTTCAGGCTATTTTACATTGTTGCTGTTTAAAATTTTTTAAACATAATACAGAAAAAATACAAATCTAGACAATATATATTTATTGCTGACATCATGGGAAAAAATCCAAACGACCTGCCTAAAAATATATAGTGTTTTATTTAAAAAATACTATGTCAAATTTGGACAGTTCCGTGTTTTTTTTTATTTGAAATTCAGATTTAAAAATTTTAAATAAAATTAAACAACTTTGGTGTTGGTCACTTTGACAATTTTTTTTTAATTAAACGATGTGGAGGGGATGTCACTACCCCAAATTGTTGAAGGTGAGCGGATCGTGACCGTACTGTGATCTGAGCGCATAGTGAAAATCAACCTTTATGTAAAAATGGCATCCTCCAAGAAATTTGAAAATAAATCTACGTTTTTCCCATAGCAAATAAATCAACATGCTCAAACGATTTTTTCAATGACCTCAAAAATTTAAGAAGATCAAAAAATCTAATATACTGTTCATTCGCATTTTAAGTGTGTAGAAATACAAATTTGTATAGCAGCGCAAATAGAATACAGAAACTTAAAGCAAAAGATTTTTAAAAACACGTTTAGGTTTTCATTTACTTTAAAAAGGAAACACTGTTTTGCAATGAAATACTACGTACCACTGGGTGCAGTTAAATCATGCCCATACTGATCGCACCATCCTACTGGATGAATATAAGGCGATGTAGGATCTGCCCAATAGTCGTAAATATCATCCCAACCATCGAAATGAATCAAAATCCGATTATCCATCATATCTCTAATGCTAGCAACGCATATTAACGAACTATTCTTTTTGTCCACAGCTTCTAGCTTCATGCCAATACGAAAGCCATTTGGGCATATTGCCTAGAATTAAAAAAATAAATATCAATATTTAGGTAATTATATTTATTATATTATACAGGGTGTTCCGTAAATATGTTAAAATATTTTAACAGCATGTTCTCCTAGTCATTTTAGAGGGGATCTGCCAGAGAACTTTTATAATTTGAGGGCTCATTGATGAGATATTTGTCCAAAAAGGCAAAAAATATTAGTTTTTGTGTTAAGGGCATAAGGGCAATGTTAAAACGGTTGAACATAGAAACTTAAATTTTGTTATACATTATAAGCTAATTGAGTGCCATTTTGTAGTAGTGTTTTGTGGTTCAGTTTACTTTTATACAGGGTAGAAATGTGGAACTCTTACTTCTGTCTTGTTCAGAACTTTTTGCGTGCACTTAAACTTTTATCAACATATTTTGTTTAATTACTACAAGTTTTTTACCAACTTTTTTATGTTTTATTGTTTTTCCTAAGACAACTAGTTTGCCCGCAAAAAAATTAAATCGTTTTTCATTTTTATATGATTTTTAACACCATTTTTTTACATTAGTTTGAACTGTACATAGAGCCTCCAAAAACACAACAAAATAAGCTTGCTATTTTTTAATTGGATACGCTATATTATTAAATATGTACACGATGTTTCCTTATAAGTTGACACGTACCTTCTATTTTATCCCGTATCTATTTTTATCGTACTATCCCGTTTCTATTTTATGCCTTACTGTATTATTAAACTTAGCTTGAACATTGAATTTGGCTTGACTTTTTTTATGTACAGGGTGTTTCCTCATAAGTAGACACCCCCCTAGATTCATTTTCGTTTATTTCAAAAAATTGTGAGTAAAATTAAACAAATTTTGTGTTGGTCACTTTCACAATTTTTTTGAAATAAACGATCTAGGGGGGTGTCTACTTATGAGGAAATACCCTGTACATAGAAAAAAGTCACGCCAAATTCAATATTCAAGCTAGTTTTAATAATACAATAAGGCATAAAATAGAAACTAAAAATAGAACAACACAAGTGACAAAATTAATAAATTGGAGTTAACGGCTGAACCTTAATCTTATCTATATCTTATCTATATAAGAATTCTGTTAGTGATAAAAGCAACAAAATTTGCGATGACTTAGACCCGAAAGATAATTGCAAAGAAGCACTTTAAGCTGTAAATAAATCATCATGCAGAAATAAGAGTATTTGAGATGGAAATTTAAAAGACGCACGGCGAAAATTACCAGAGCAGTTTCAGAATATAAAATGACGTAAATTTACTTAGGAAGTTAATTCAATTTAATATGAACAAAATATGCTGAGTGAATGTTCGAAATAAATAATATAGCTGGTATTTGTAGCCCTTTGAATGTTTCTTCAATTTTAGTCAGGTATTCATTCGTTCCAACAAACGTAAGTAGTAATTTGAATTTTGAAAATCTCGTAATTTAAATTTAATGTGAAAATGTAGCCCTGTCCCCAAGCAATTAAAAATATGCATTTATTCCCTCGTAAGACGAAGTGTCGTATAAGAGAGGCGATCTTGTGTAAATAACATAAACTAAGCATAACACTTACTTGTCCTGCTCGATTTACGAATAAATGCTTAGGTACTGCTGCGCTTCTGGTAAACTTCAAGTATTGCACCCAGTTAAAAGTTTCTTCAGTATATCCTGGTGGAGGGTGCAAGACGTGACCATATTTTTCGCACCAACCTATAGGAAATATATCCATACTATCAGCATATGTCCAGAAATCATAGGTATTCGGGTATCTAAAAAGATAACTTATTTACAATCAACTTCAGACTTGTATATGTATAATGTTGCAAAACTGATTAGAGCAATTTTAAAGTGTTTCTAAATACGAACCCATCAAAATGAAGCCGAATTCGGTATCCGCTTACTTCAACAACGGTCATTACACAAAAATATGACGGATGTTGAGGATCAACGCCTTCTAATTTCAAGCCAGGTTTGAAAGAGTTTCGGGTGTAAGGAAACGGATCCTTGAAGAGCTTCACAGGGGCCGCTTTAGCATTCATATGCATCAGATACTTGGACCAAGAAAATCCCTTCTTTTTACACGCCCATGGATATGAAGGTCTGTCCTGAGAAGTAGTTTCATTGGAAGTTTCATCTTCCCCACTGGCTCCATTAGATTCTTTAATGTGATTTTTCATCAGTTTGCGTTTGTGTCCTTTTAAAACAGCTGCAAAAAATGTGATTCGTATACATAAGTTACTGGATAGTGTTTAACTGATTAACTTACCACATGATTCTTGGTTTTCTTTAAAGCTACCAGACTGTCTATTCTCTTGGCAATCGAAACTGCAAAAATTTGCATTAATAAAGTCCACTCGGAAACCATAGCAGCCACAAGCAACACATTTAATTTCGCGCTCCATGTCTTCCTTTTCTTTATTTTTGCGCTCCTTCCGGTCCAAAATTTTTTGATAAGCGTCGTCCGTCAGAAACTCCAGTATTCCAAATTCATTTATAATAAATTTTAGTGTACTATGAGGAAGCAGACCTATATTGTCTTGCCATGACATTGAACTATGTAGTTTTGAAAACACATCTGCTAAACTTAAACCGCATGCATAATCAACCTCAGAAGCACTAGCATCTTCAGCAATAACAGAATCTTCACATTTTGGCTCAGGTATATCCAATTTTTCTTCTTTTATCGCTTCACTCTCTATAGGTACCTGAATAGGTTCTGGAGATTTGGAATCTGGAAAGACCATGTCCATTTCATCAAAATCTTTTCTAAAGTTGAATTGCGATTTGCGTCGGTTTTTCTCACGTTCTGGTTTCTTAGCTGTTACCTGTAGCACGGTCACTTGATCTTCTGTTCCGCTTCTAGGCTTTGTAATTACAGTATCATTTTCAATGGAAATTCTGCGAGAGGTGATGACCAGATTTGAGTCTTGCATGATGTTATTAGAGAAATTCTTTTTCAAAATTGAAATACCATGTGCAAATTTGGAAACATGAGGTTTTGCAACTACATTACTCTCCATAGATGAACTGCTGTTATCAGTTGACGATACAACTAGCTTACTGTCGCTCTGATTACTAAGAGATTCCTCTGCTATGGACAGTTCGTATGTCTTGTTCTTGATGTCATTTCTTTCAATAGACTCCTGAGGCTTCTGATTGATTTCTGAGATAGTGTTAGTTGAATCTGGTTGAGATTTCGTCGTATCGCACATGATAGTAAGAGGTGTCGGAATGTTAGAAATTATTTTCCCATCAGAAATTTTAAAGTTAAACAACTTATGATTAGAATCAGTAATAGCATCTTTTTGAGGGACAGTCATTGGCAATAGAGTGAACTTTCCGGCCTGCAAAGAGTTGGTTGTAGCTGTAACAGGAATCCCGTTTGTAGTTTGTAATGTTGGCATGGGCGTGATTACATTGCTCGACTGAATTTTTGATATCGGACCTGTTAAAATTATCTTCGAAACCATGTTAGCACCGTCCGCTGGAGATTCATTGATTAGTGATTCTGTTCTTGACTGTATTTCAGCAGATGCCTTGGGCAATTGCTTGAGCGTTACATATGTACCAGTTACTTTCGTACCTTGCGGTACAATAGTAATTGGTTGTTTTGGTACCACAACTGGCATGCTTCTTCCAGCGATAATTACGTTTTGCGATGAATTTAAGGGGGTCGCATTAGCGGAAGATGTCGACTTATTCAAGACATTTGCAGTAGAAACAGGCGAAATTATGAAGTTATTGTTCAATTTGTTGCTAGCATTCACAGCAATTGTTTTTGCTTTACTATTCTTTATATAGACAAGTGTCTTGACTGGCACTGAATTGTTGGTTACATTGGCTGTTTCCTCTAAAAAGCTAAGTCCTGCCTCACATTTAGACACAACTAGATCTTCAGAACTTTGTTCGATAACATACTGAGTGTTATTACCGAATTTCATCTTGGAATTGTCTTCAGACTGCTGGGACGCTGTATAATCTATAATGCAACGTCCAGACATATCTGCAACAAATAAACTAGATAAACAGACTGATGTGAAAAGATAAAGAATATTATTGTATCGGAAGAACATATCATAAATAATAAGAACAGTATCTGCACAATGTACCATGTTTAATGGGACCTTTTCTTCGTAATCTAAACAAATACCGGGCTGTAAGGGGTTCTAACTATTAGCCAAAACGTTTCCACATATTATCGTGCACATTTAATATCCCCAGAACCAGAAAAGAAAAAAAATCCTAAATTGTCGCTAGTCCTTGTAGAAATATAATAATACAATGTTTTCAAGTAGTGATTCTGCAATTATACAACATATATTCGATCAAGGCTTGATGAAATTTAAATCGCCAACACTTTAATAATCATATACATACCCAGTTTTCATTTAAGAACTCGAAGTTTTTGCGGAAAAATATTTTCTATTGCACAAACGATTTTCACCTATAGAAATAATCTCGCTGAAATACATCGTGCGTTTGCGCTGTAAAAGACATGGCACGCGGAGGGAGAGGAGAAATAGTATAAATTTCGCGCCGTTGAATGCAGCAGTTTCAAAATTTAAAACATTTTTGGCCCGTTTCTTTTATACATAACTTTAGAACATATTCAACATTTCCTTCTATTAAATGCTATGTATGGTCCTGAGCGATTAGTTCAAGTAAACTAATTAACCAAGTAGAACACTGTAATGTCGGCAGCGTTGCCAAATGTCGGAATGGCGTCGTTTCAGTATACAACCGTTATGATTAAAAATAAAATATTTTTAATAAATGAAACAAATGCAATATGCAAGTAACTATGTAAATATCTAATATATAACTCTCAACTGTAGGTTAGTAAATTATTAAAAATCGAAAAAAAAATAGTATTTTAAAGGATTCTGTCTAAATAAACTGAAAATTTACCACACTGCTGATACTCATTAAAAATATTATTTTGCTGGAGCTTCTCAGAAAAATTAAGGTAACTCTCAGTTGTTAAGTGAACAATTAATTTATTCAATTTCATCTAATTATTATTATTTTTTTTTTTTTTCTGGCAGCGTGTAATTGTTATTATATTTTTTTCTTTCCTGGGTTTCAGTCAAAATGTGAAATAAAAATGTCTATATCGTTTATTTCATATTACGTTTCTGCAAAACAACAGGCCATCATCAGATTAAAATTCAAATCAAACCCATAATACGCTCCATAAGTGGTGACGACACAAATTAGACAGATTCAGGGACTGTATCTAAGCCACAGAATCTAAGCAAAGTCAATTTACATTGGAGTTAGATACGAATTTTACAAAGTGTGCTGATTATCTCAACAGTGAAGAAAAAGAAGCATTCTAACGTATGTATTTGCATTTAGGAGTCTTAGTAACGATTCTACATTGAAATCATAACGTAATTATTTATAACAGATTTTGTATTAGGAACTGTGTTAAAACCTGTTATTTGTATTTAAATGTTATAGAATAATGGATATGAGTTGGGCTTCTGAATATAAAAGTTATAATGATCGCAAAAATGTTCGTTTTTCCGGTTTCCAAAAGATCCATCCACACGAAATCGATGGATAAAGTTGGTACGGTTAGTAAATATTATGTTGTTATTTGTAAATCGTATGTTATACTTGAAAATGATTTATAGGAGAATTCTATAGATCCTGGTCCTGGTACCTGTGTATGCAGTTGTCATTTTCTTGATGGGAATAATTAAAAAGACCCTATACAGGCAAAATAGTTAAAGTATCGGAGTCCCGAAAAACTAGCGGAACCAAAATATCTGGCGGAGCAGAAACAGCAAGCGACCATTTGAGCACAACAACAAACAATATTACAGACCTGAATCTAAGCCACAACCTTCGACTTCGACTGAAGGTATTCTTGAAACCTTTATGTCTACAGTACGGATTGATGCTGAAAATGAGTTTCTCCAACAACTACAGGAAGTGTCAATGGGACTTAACAATTTATTTGAACGTATAAAATACTTTTCTACTTATGCAATATTTAAATGTTTGTTTGCATTACTCAAAGATATAAGTAGTTTGTTATTATGACTGGAAAGTTGAAAAACTTAGTAAGACCAAGATCAGTTCCTCATAACTCTTATGAAACTTTAGCTGTGAGATTTTGCAGCCAAAAATATAAAAAATTACGGTAATACACAGTAGTTTTCTTTTTGATACTGGCTCTCACATCTTTAAGTCAATCAGGAGAGCCTTCGGTAGGGAATACTACCGCAATGACAATTGCTTTGAATATAAAACTAACTTAGTTTTTAACGTTAGTTTTATATTCAAAGGCTGATTGCCTCTCTCTTAAGGCCGGGTCACATCTATCCGATCCGACTCCGATCATACAATCGGACGAAGATCTGAGAGCAAAATAGTACTGGACTTTCAACGCCGTAGTT